CACCTGCTATCGTGATTTATATGTTTTCTATCGACTTTGTCTTCACTCATGTTTGTTATATTTGTTATGTGATATGATTTTTGCCAAAAAAGATTAACAAATAGGGTTATTGGGTTCAATGATACATAGAAACAATGAATATTCTTACCCTATTAGAAGCCTTGTTTCTCAAACTTCTTGGGAAGAATTCTTCTTCACTTTCTTCTTCACTATCCGGTGTATATGAACTGCCTGACTGTGACTGTAAGAAAGAAACAGGAATATTTTGTCATTCTTCTTGATTATGGATGTTTTTTTTTTCTTTGTATTTTTCAAACTGATTCTACGTGAAGAGGATGTAAAAATAAAAAATAGGAAGATGATCAGATCAAACTATTAGATATAAGTAAACACTAAGATTTACAAAATTGGAAAGAAACAATTAGTATATAACAAGGGTTAATGAAAAAGAGCATAAAGCCTTGTTGAATGTTTGATTCTAAAGTAAAGTACATAAATATCACTTAAAGGAGAAAAGGGAAGCAGATAGTACAAATACTTGTTTTTTTTAAAGAAGAAGAGTAGAATCAATATGAAAAGACAAGAAGGAAGGGTTCGTTTTCCTTTAAATAAAGAAGTTCTTACCCATCTTTCTGACTTCCTAATCCGTTATTCTTTTTCATTGCAATCTCACAATTTAAATAATGAAGTTCTTACCTGAATTTTCAAATCCCTAATCCTTTCTTCTTCTTCCTCCGTCCTCCTCTGTTCCTCCTCTTCTTGTCTAACTCGTTCTTCCCTCTTTCGTTTCTCGGCCTCCCACTCAGCCTCCCACTCAGCCTCCTCTCTCAAACGTTTCCGTTCTGCTGTATTCACCAATTGCTCTGCCGTCTCACGTTCCCTCTGTCTGGCAGCATCCTCCTTCATTGTTTCAAAATATAAGATCATTGGATAATCATTATAATTAGTGGTGGTTTGAAGTTTTGTCCCCTTACAAATACGTATATCAGGCTTACCAAAACACTTTACTTTGCAGACAAAATAATTTGTGTGAATTATGCTCAACTTTTTATTCTTCATTTGAAAACAAAATTGAATATAGTAAGTAAGTAGTAAGTATTAAAGTAGTCTCTAAGCGCTCTAAGCAATAGTAATCATATACTCTAGCTTTTTTTCTTTTCAGTGGAAAAAAGATCTACTTTCACCAAAAAAGTAGGCCACATTTTATAGGCTTTCAGCTTTCATATGAATAACAATTTAAACTCAGATCACATGTTGGCTTGCAATCATCCTCTTTCACATTCACATCTGTCCCAGATGGTGGCTATTGGGAAGCAATATTAGAGATTTGAACGAAAATGTAGAATGCAATATTAACCTAATTAAAGCTCTGTAATATCTTTTTTTATGTAAAATAAAACAAGGTCATCATAAAAGTAGCTTAAACATTGTGAGGTCCATATTTGTTAGGTTTCTTTTATAGCGAGTCTACACATTGTAAGGTTCATTTTTGTTAGTTTAGTTTAGTAAAACTTTCTTTGCACAATGTTATACATTGTTAGGTCCATGTATCTTGGTTAAGCTATACAAAGTTCAGCAAATCATAACATTGGCTTATTCCATGGTAATAAAAGGTCCACCTTATTAGGTTACGATCATTTGAAATTATCTTGGAAGTCACCTTTGCTAGATTATTTGATCAATTGTAGACACTGTTGGGTCCACTTTCATTGATTTAGGTAGTTTATCAAGTCTATGCTGAGTATTAAAGGTATCTTTCTTTTCCTTTAAAACTTTAGCTTAGACCATCAAAAACACTTGAAGTGAGGTCCACTTTGTCAGCTCAGTATAGCACATTTACAAATTATAAGGTCCACCTTTGTGTATTAAGTTAGCAGTTTTAAACACTGAATTAATATCTTGAATGTCAGAAAGTAGGTTAGTGGCTAATTTACCCATTCTAAGGTCCACCTTTTAGCAAATCTATATATGAGAATAAACAAACGAAACATGTACCTGTCGCCATGGTAAGTTGTCAACGCCATAATCGTATCTCAATTCAGCACCAGGTCTAATATCCACTAATGCAAATAAGCACAGATGTGGAAGGCTAGAACCACTTGACTGGTTGAATGTGACTTTCTTAATTACACAGTTTGGGTGGATGTGATCGTCATTCACCCACCTTGCCAGGCATGAATCTTCCTCTGACGCATCAATACTGGAAAGAGTACAAATATCAAGCACACAAACGATGACAGTAGGCTACTAGTAGTAACTAAACTTCCTAATCTGTCCCATTAGATAAACCACTGTACTATGAGTATTGGTGGTGTGAAATAACTGACACCTAAAGGTCCTACATAAGTTAAGGAAACCAACATGACTCGAGATTGGTATGCAAGATTTAAAATGATTCATCCTTGAACTACGGTAGTGACAATTCTATAAATTATAATGTAATTAAACAAGTAGATATTTCATTTCATCAATTTCTTCTTTTTCCAAGGTTATTGGGGATGATTGTTCTTCTTGTTTAAGCTGAGTAGCTAACAGAGGATAGTTATTTGCTCAACTAAGAATGGACCTATCCAAAAATGATGAATCCTAAAAATGCCCATGAAACAAGCATAATACTTTGTCACTCAAAATACTAAAGTCAAGGAAATAAACTAATCTAAATTACTTACCGATACTTTGTATTATTGTGAGAAAAATGGAAAACATAGTCCACATTCTCTTCATCTTCATCAGGAGCAATGGTCAGATCTCCACGGTACTCCAGAAGAAAGTTTCCCTTGAAAAAGGGTCTTGTGGTCACAAGGCCATATCCTAAAAATGGAGAAGGAAAAGTGCATTTCAAAATATTTACATTTTCCCCAAACCATGCAAGCTTCCAATAGTAGTATGTTTAATAGAATTAAAATTATCATTTGCCTGGTCTGTTCTGGTGCCATGAGCCAGAAGAAATGTGTGCTTTCCTGTACGGTCCACGGGGATTCCCCTTTACAAAATTAATTCAAACCATTACAGTTCCTCCAAGTAGCACATGAGATGTTTCTAGGGTATATGGTGCTTGTCCAGTACAATGGAATTTAAAATCTATCCCAAGCCCATTCATACTCGGATGACATTAACCTGGTGAATGTTGTCATTTAGATTTGCAAATGAAAACATGGATTTCTTGAAAGGATAAGCTCTTTTGATACACCTCTGGTCTTTGACTGTGTCACGAGTAATAATAATATTTAATTTTTATATAGCACCTCCTAACACCTCTGCAGACTGCAGGATAACATAGCTTATACATTCCAATGATTCCATATTTATGGCTCCTATCTTTTCTTTTTTCTAGCTCTCTTTGTCGCTTTTACCTATTTGTTTATTATTGTATTTCATTTAATTTAATTAATGTATTATTTTTTTTGGGGGGGGGGGACACAAGTCCCTAGGCCTACCGTATTCACTATTACTACTATGACTATTTTGATTAAATTATTATCATTATTAATATTGTAAATATTTTCTAAGTTATTATTATTATTACTATTATTATTATCATTGTAATTATCATTACTTTTATTTTTATTGTGTATAATTATTGTTATTAACATTATTATCATTATTGTATGGATTTGTTCTTTATAATTTACCTATATCATCTTTGATAAATGTCTTGGTAAATCCACTCTGGTCTTTGCCCAGACACACCAATTCTTTGCCACTTTGTGCGGTGGAATACGGGCAGGTCGCTTTCTTTGTCCTGAAGCCATACTCTGTCAAAAAAGGTGGTCATAAAACTAGGTAGTAAACATGAACTCCAATTTGTTAGCACATGAAATCAGACAGTTTTTCATTAGCCCCAATGTGTTTGTGTCATTGACTTTTCATAGAACTTGCATCTGGGTGGGGGGGGGGGGGGGCTGGTGGCGGGGCAGC